TGTTAGACATCAGTGAACATTATTAAGTGAAGTGAATGCACGGCCTTCTCTATTTATTAGAGACGGCGTTGTGTGAATGTAAACAAATAATAATTTATGTCCCCTATCTGTAGATCGCTTTCCCTAAGGTGTTCGTTTTAAGTTTTGCCAGCATATCAGTTATGCCGAATGAACCAACCGAAAGCTTGTCACCATGGTCGTAAGGTAGTCGACTGATCTAATTTGCTACGCAGCAAAAATATCAATAATTCTCCTGTTACAAATCACCATATCGTCTTGTCCCTGTCCGAGAACAAAAAGTGCAGCAGGGGAAGATGAGGCCTGGAAGTCATGACCCAGGTCACCCACCTTCCGAGATTGTATAGGAATGGTAACGGGCCGAAACAATCGTCGACGAAGGATCTATCTACTGATTGTCGGTGGACCCCTGCTGTACATGCTCCCCTGTGGAGTTCTTATTATTATAACTGGATCTTAGCTGTAAAGCTCTCATTGAGTTTATCAGATAGATACAGAATAGGACCGTTACTGATGTAATCGAAATTACATTTTCGCTAGCAGCAAGCAGCTTCTTCTGACTGACTGACTGAATTTCTACCCCACCAGAACATCACACAAGCAATAAACACCCGATGACACAAAGTGCCACCATGTGGATGAGGATCGCAGTGGAGAGGTCCCAGAAACCGCGTTCAGACAACTCGCCATATGTATGGCCTGCCTATATTGCGGCCCCTGGCAAAAGCCAGGGTGGGGCTTCAAATGACAAAAAATTTCATCCTAAAAAGTACAACGAAAATTAATATAAGCTTCTTCTTCTTCTTTCACTTGCTTGTAATAGAATATCTATATCTGCAGTGTTGTCTCTAGTATGAAATTCACTAGGCGACCCGTAAATTTTGACTTGCACCGATGTTTCTTAGCCTTAATATATTGTATTTGGGACAATCTTGGAAGACATAGTATGTTATCTCAGGTGCCAATCCACATGTGCACATTGCTGATTCGCCGATTTGTATTTTTTTGTACATGTCTACGAAATCGATTGTGTCCCTTTCTAAGGCGCAGAATAATAACTTGCCCTGGTCTGTCCATAAAATGGTAATCATTTTGTTCCGGTTTTGGTGGCTTTCTGATTGATCTGATAGCAGCTGAAAACGGTGACAGAGAACTTGTGTGAACGTCCCACTGATTTCTGTGATGTCCAAAGCCATGTAGGAACAAAGACTTTAAGCAAAGTAAAATATTTTACAGTAACCCACTAAAATTTGTATGTGTTGCTTCAAACAGTAAAAACGCTGCAACAAACATTAAAAACTGATACGGAATATAAGACGAATCAATGTGTTCAAGACACGCGATCGACGCAGACTTTGTGGTTTTTGGCAAAGCGGAGCTTCTCTGTCAACATACACGTCGTTACTCCGGACTGAGAAAATTAATTAAACATCCAGCATATCCACGTAAGAAGGGTCTCATTTTTTTGAAATTTTGTTTATAGATATCACATTATTTTCTTTTATATTTCATTCTCGCCATTCGGTTTGGTTGGTTTGGTTGGTTGGTTTAGTATCCAGAAGCCATGACTTGTTAACCCTTAGGCTTGGTGTTACGGATATCGCAACCTTTCGGCCTTGATTCCATTGTAAATACCGTAAATCTGGGAGAAATGTGGCTTTTCTACCTACCCCCGGGAGTGAACCCGACCACAAGGAGTTCGTCACCCGCTCACCGCGCAATCCGGTTTAGCCAACTACGCTAGAGAGACGGGCTATTCTCGCCATTCAGAACATTATAGCTATTTTTACTATTTACTTTAATAAGGCTTAAACATTTTTAGGCGCCCCCCCCCCCCCTCGCCACCTTCCCACTAAAAAAAATAATATGCAACTGGTCTGAGGGCCATTACCCGTCCCCTATATGTGGATGGTTCTGTGTTAAGAGGCAGGCGAAGTGCATGAGGGTTCATGCCGAAGGCGAATGGAAGTCGCTTGGTGCAACAAAGTCTGGCATATGATATCACAACGTCTAGTTTGAGAATATAGGTGGAGGCAGTCACTGCTGTCTTCTGCTGGCTTGAGAATCAGCTGTACACAAATGCCGTTTTTGTAACTGACTCACATAGCATGTTGAGAAAGGTGGAGACAGGCATGCTCCTTGCAGAGTGGCAAGCATCACTTCAAATGTCCTGGGTAGTAAGCATCCTTTAGATATTTTCTTTAGGTTATGCCTCTTGGGAAATGAACAGACAGAGGGACCGGTCGGCTCTGCACCTCTTGGTGGTGAACTGATGTATGACAAACTAGATGTTAGATCATTACTGAGTAGAATGGCAATGCGAGGAGTTACACGAAGATCTGGTCCACGTTCAACTCTCAGGGGAAAGGCGAGACGGATATACAATCAGACAGTTACTGATACCATATACATTTTTATTCTTCGCTTCCTGTTGAAGATAGGGACGTAGCGCTCATGAGGTGTCCCGAGTGCTGTGATGTCGATACTTAATTCAACATTCAGAATTCAACATATGTTGTCTTTGTATCGGAGCCTTAGAGAACAGCATTATTGAAAACAAGAAAGTTATTTATGTCTGCTTCATTACACTTCCTTGATACTTTTATAGTTGTATTTAGTTTTCATGTCGGCATCTGTGTCATGGAGGTTATGAACGTTTTTTCATAAGCCAGGCACACCAGGTTCCACTCACGTGCAGGCGCTTTTACAAAATACAGTGTTACGTTAAAGAGAATCAATTTCATTGCTTTGGGTTTTACCCCACATGATTCGGGCACTCTCTCCCCCCCCTTCTTTCTCTCTCTTTGCGAAGAACGGCTGCACGCCCACCGAGAGCCTCACACAAAGCACGAACTCTGTAGCGTCGATGACAATTTCCATGAATCTTTGTTAAAAAATAAATGAATTGCTTAACTGAAAGACGCAGCTGTGAAACAAACTCACGTCTTCCAAGTGCAAGACAAACGGCTTGAACACTTGGCCACAGAGACCCCCGTTGTGCATTCATTTCCTCAACATTGTTAGTGTCAAAGAAAGCATAAGCAAATTATTGCAGTTAGAACAGTTATGAAAACCATAAATAGCCAACAAATGCCTTGGTTGGTTTGTGGCCGTGTGTAAAGTAATCGATTAACTGAGCGATGGGTTTGTCCCTCTAGAGTACTCTTCATCCCTAAAAGCTAAAGTGTCCGATTAAGTCTGCCAGTGTCTCTCTTCTAATTGCCAATGTCTAACGTCTGTCCGATGAACCAAACGTAAGCCTGCTACTCTGGTCGTGAAGGTAGGCACATAATTTGCTACCGAAGCGACAACATGTAACGCCAAACCTCACATTGCCTATTACAAATCCACAGTTTCGTCTTGTCCAACGTCCATTAAGCGTAGCAGTAGATGCCCGTGGCCTGAAGTCATGAATCAGGTCGGCCAACCCTCGCATATTGTCGAAGAGGATAATGGGCTGAAACAAATGTCGATCAGGGACCCTTCAACTGATGATCGGTGGACTCGATGGACGGTGTGCATGCTCGCTCTGTGGAGTTCTTATTATTTTTATTACCATCCTAAAATGTAGCCCCCCCCCCCTTTTCCTCTCTCTCTCTCTCTCTCTATCTCTCTCTCTCTCTCTCTCTCTCTCTCTCTCTCTCTCTCTCTCTCTCTCTCTCTCTCTCTCTCTCTCTCTCTCTCTCAGATATTTGTTTTAAATGCATTTACTTTAGCTACATGTCTTTGATGGCTCTCCAATTTCTTTTGCATGTGTTAACACTGAAATAACGCTAGAATTGAAAATAACATAACTTGCTTTTAAAACTAAACAGTTTGGAATTCCATATTTTATTCAAGCTATTAAATGCTGCTGATACCTTGCCAGTGCATGTCATACTTTCTTTTTTTTTTTATTTCCTTAACTTTCAAAATTAGGGAGCTGCGGGGTCTCGAGGCATGGTGTCCGCCTCCAGTGATAGAGGTTCCGGGTTCAATCCCCGGTAAGGGCTGGGATTTTTTCACGTGGACTTGGACTTGTAGTATTTCTCCCGGCTCTCTATGTGGTGAGATCGGACGCCCGTATGCACTGTTGCGCACGTAAAAAAAAAAAAAATCCATCTGCAGTTGGAAATCGAAAAGAGTAGCCTAACGGCGCTGAACGGGCAAAAATTTGGAGTTGAAAATCTACTAAAAATATTTCAGAATCCTCGCCGGTGCTACAGAGCCTTTGCACTACGCTGAGCTTCTTCTGACTCAGACTTTATTTAAAAAAAGAACAGAGCACTTATGGGTTTGTACCTGTGTGTCAAAATGTTGATCCGATGTTTAAAACGTCAAACGTCAAACTACCAAAATTACTGCCTAAATTGATCTGTTGCTTTAAATACTTCTTTCTGTCTGTAATGTTACATCTGCTTGATCAGTTGTTGATGTCCTCAGTATGTTTGTCTTCTCATAAACTTTTTTTGTAGTCCAACCCTTGATGCTGTATTTGCTAAATCATATGCTTTCCTTTACAATCCTATTCTGCAAGTATCCGTAGTAAGTAGTTTTTACAGCTTGGGTGAGCTGCCCCCACGCCCGACCCTCCTCCTTTCTCATCTGGGTATTGGACCGGCAGAGGCGGAGACATGCTAAACTGCAGGACACCAGATTTACTAGTAAGACTAAACAGCGAAAATATATTGGGATTGGTTCTGTAAAACAGGGTTATTCAACAAAATGTTTAGAGTGGGAATCGTCATGGACCAGAGATCCTAACCCTAGCATAGAAATGTTGACAATAAAATAGAGTTGGCACTGATGTGCACATCACCAGCTAGACCTCTCTGGGCCGGATTAAGCCCGTGGACAATCAGGTGAAAAACCCTACTGTACAAAATATGTAACTAACCTTTAGTTTTGGTGTCTGTTTATTCTTATCTAATGCTATTTATATTATAAATTTATATATTTTTGAAATTTGTTTCTGATTGCAGGTTTCAATATGTGATGGGAGGATGAGGTTCTCAACACGATACCTTATTGGTGGTACCCTTACAGTCTATGTTATCACCACTGCTATAATGTTGGTTTCTTTTTTCAAGAAGCACAGCTGTGATAATATCTATCCATATGATGCGCTGTCAGTTGACAGACTTGATTATTCGCTGTTTGAATTTGTCTCCATCTCTCAAGTACTTAGGTCGCAAATAGAAGAAACATTGAAAAGCGAACTGCCACCTGCAGTTGATGACACCCTGGTTATATTAGACGATCTGAAGGCTTTGAACAATGTGATGCATCAGATGGAGAGGCATGTTGACGAAAGAGCAGCTAGACTTGTGTTATCTCAACCAGTTATAAATTATCACAATTTCTCCTACATTCATAATCCTACATATTATTGCACGGAAAGCCAGATTAATGTTATTCTTATTATTCCATCGGCCACAACTAATTTTGAAAAGCGTATGGCAGCAAGACGAGGAAACAAACGAGATTACGTTCTTAATGTTGAAAACAGAGCTAAATTGTTATTTTTTCTTGGATCACCTTCTAGAGGAGGAAACATTCATACAGTCCAGAAAAATATTGATCAAGAAATGAAGGAGTTTGGCGATATTGTGCAAGAAGACTTTGAAGACAGCTATAAGAACAACAGACTAAAATCTGTGTCTATGCTACGATGGGTGAGCACCTATTGTTCTACTGCCAAATTTGTTCTCAGAACAGATGATGATATTGAAGTCAATGTTTCTGCATTGATATCCGTACTGCATCGGACCTCTCACAGTTTAAACAATTTTATTATTGGAATGAAACGGACTAAAGACCCACCTAGGCGAGACAACAGTAAATATTACATCTCTGAACAAGAATATCCATATCCAGTGTTTCCTCCTTACCTTCTTGGAGGACTGCTGGGGTACCCAGTTAGTACAGCAAGACTTCTGTATGAAGCTGCCATGAGAACACAACCAATATGGCTGGAGGATGTGTATATCACTGGAATTTGTGCATATAAACTGCACATACCCATTCTAGAGGATCCAGAGTTTGTGTTTAAACATGAGTAATTGGATTTAGGTGTGGGGTTGCAAAAAATATTTTCACAATTAGTTTTGAAAAAATAAATTTGGCGTGCATAGCTTTATATGACTCAGAACTGGAGTATAGCATGGGTTTCATGCCAAGAAATAGTCGGCAGATCAGGACAATGAGCAGGATACATTAGCTGCTTCAGTCTCTTTGGGCAGCAAGTGCTTTTATGATAAGGCGAACCTTGTGTCGGTTATCTGCTTTTCAATGGACAGTGCAACAAAATGTGATATCCAGTTCTGGAGAGACTAATTAAGCTGGAAGTGATCAGTGTCTGGATGATTTTCAGTGTACAGGGGAACAGATAGGAATCTTGCAAATAATAACCCCATAAGTATGAAAATTCTCAGTTGCTAGTAACATGGTTAGTTTGGGAACAGTTTGTTGTGAATGGCATGGTTGAAACAGTAACTCATATTTGCGAATGATGCTGTTAGAATAGAACTGTCCATTACAAAAAACTTTATGAGTATGGGGACTTATTAGTGACTGCTGAGTGAAAGGACAGAACGCGTGTGTCTCTAGATGCAAGAATGTAATTTTCTGATTCAATCAGTTTGAAATGGGTGCATCTTTACAGCTCTATTTCCACCAGCACTCTCATTGGGTGATGTAGTCAATATTACACAGCAAAATATTGCTGCATATAACATTTCTTGTTACTTATTTCAAACTGGATCTGCATGGAAACCGAATTCGATTTCGTCAAATGCTCACCCGAGTGAATCCTACAGCCAGTTTAAAGGCTCACTACACGAACAAAAATATTGTTTTTATTAACAATGGTAGACAAATTCTTATATAACAGTCATTTGTAGGTATGTATGTTAATACATATTTACACTTTAAGTAAAAAAAAAATTCATGGTTGCCATGGGCCAAAAATTCTTGTTTGGATGATATCTTTTTCTTGCCCAAATCTTCCACTAAAATTTTATGAATTGTCTCTCTATTAACACCAGATTATTCTGCCATTATCCTCACATTAAAACAATGATCTTCTTGTATCCCTTCTCTGACTTTTGCAATGAGTTCATCATTACAAACATAAATTTGGCTTTCAGATCAAGGTGCATTAGTTATCATTTTCACATCACTTTTGAATCGTAAATACAACCTGAAAACGTGTGCACGAGATAAACAATTATCCCCACAAACTTGTTGCATCAATTCAACTGTTTCAATGGCGCTTTTTCTGAGTTTTAAAAAGAATTTAATGTTAGCTTTTTGATCGGTGCTGATTACGTAACAATGCACCTCTGACTAGGTAAACAAAATCGTGGCTTGTTTTTTGTTGGCTTATCGAGTGGCAAGGAAAAGTGACCAGATCATAGATGAATGTGGCTTGGCATCTTTAGTTTCAATGCTTTGCTTCACAGACGACGCTTTTGTCTTGGCCATAATAAAATCAGTCTCATTACTTAATTGTCGGACCTTGTATATGTGTGTGTATATATATCTATATATTTGTATATATATGGCTTATATCATTTCTTTTACTTTTACTTTTGTCTTATTGCTTCTGCTGCAATGCATCACAAAGAGGAGTCAGATGTAGTTTTTGTCTTTACTAATTGCGTAGCTTGTGTTTGTGTCATATAGCGTTTCTGTAGTGTCTCGTTTACCCCATCCACCTATACCTTCTAGATCATCCTCTTGCTTGGCTAGTTCCTGGCTGATTTTCTTTAATTCTGACCAGATGATCAAGCCATGTGATTTTGTGATGTTTATATTGTTTATTGTTACCAACTAGGTCACCTGCTCTTACACATGTGAATGTACACTTCTTCTTCCGCAAACAAACTCATGCTAAGTTCTCTGATACTTTGCATCAGCTCATCTCATGGCCTCCCAGTCCTTTTAGTTTCATTCTCTCTCTCTCCCCTCTCTTCTCTGTGCGGGTTTATTCAGTTTGCCTTTATTTCTAAGCTTCTTCCAAATTTCTATTCGATATACAGTTACTTAGCTAATAAAGAAATTAGGTAAATTTTAAAGTGCATTTTTGCCTAGGAGAATTGAGCTATATATATATATATATATATATACATATATATATATATATATATATATATATATATATATATATATGTGTGTGTGTGTGTGTGCATACAGTTTATTAAAATATGTTTGCTCTGCAGATTTGTTGGCCTAAGTGTTTTCAAGGAGAATCAACTAAATTAAAATTAATATTTTGCAATGAAATGGGTATAACGTTATCGTTATAGTGAAGATTCGTGATTGATATCTAGAAACAGGGGGCTTAACCAAGCAAATACCGATACTCTTTAGTCTAAAATGAGGTGTCGACACTTGTTATATAACGATTTGTGTATTAAGTTGGCCAGTCGCTGTTGAGTAGTGGACTTCAACATTTGCCGTATTTATACTATATATTTAGCACCCCATCTCTCAGGTTAGCTCCCACTGTGTATGGCAGGCGCTGCCTAAATGTAGCGGCTAGATGCTTGGCTTGGCTTTTTTACCCCACCAGGACATCACACAAGCGATAAACACCCGATGACACAAAGTGCCACCATGCGGATGAGGATCACCGTGGAGAGGTCCCAGAAACCGCGTTCAGACATTTGGCCATAATGATGACCTGCCTATATTGCGGCCCCTGGCAAAAGCCAGAGTGGGGCTTCAAATAACAAAAAATAACGTCCTAAGAAGGACGTAAGGAATATATAGCTAGATGCTCTCCGAAAGTCGGTTGCTAGATGCTCTCCGAAAGTCGGTTGAGTCTAAATGGAACTGAAATTATTTTTGTCTTTATAACCTTGGCATAAAGACTGACTCGGTTTTAAGTGGGTGCCAGGTTTAGAAACATGGATAGTAAAGGCTGCCGGTCTGGTATTGACCATATTACCCACCGATTGCTGATTGGTCTATAAAATATAGGTATAGAACTAAGTACCCATAACGCGTTAAGGCAAATAACCGGGCCATTTTCTCTGTTATTTTTTACTCAATGTAAAGGGCAGCAATTTAAAACCTTTTTTCAATTCGCGATCCCAAGACACAGGCTAAGTAACTTATAACCTATGATATAGAGGCAATGCGCCCCGCGGACATATACATAAAAAAAGCTTGTTAATAGTTGAAATTAAAACATATCAAGATATATTTTTCAGTATAATATAATTTAATATAATGTTAACTTAGGAAATATTCAATCTGATAACTGAAATTTTAACTCCTTACAAGCTTAAACATTTGCAGTTCAGTTCTCGTTAATATTACCCTCGTGGCGTTCTCAACTTTTAAGCTGCTTCTTGTTTCAACTGTCAATAGAACTGCTGAAAATCTAGAAATAGCATCTATATATTGGCGTTAAAATAGAACCAAAATGATGTCCTTAGCTCAGTTTTCCGGAAACAGTATCACGGATTCGTGTCAACATACTATTTACTATATTTTGCCTAGTTCGCTGGTATCAAAACATCACTACCCACAAGAAACGAGGCTGGGCATTCAACCCACGTGTATCAATCAGAACTAGCCAATCACAATCTGCAAACACGCACCTGTGCCGGATGTGATTTTTTATTGCATTTTAAAGCTTTGTGCTAGGTCGATCAGCTGCTTTTAATATCAGACATGTCGGAATTACTGTTTACATAAATCCAGACGACCTGTTTCGGCATTGTAGTTTCATGGCCTTTGGACTGCTTGGATGTACTATCTTTATAAACTAGATCCGGGTTAGTGTTGTCATAAGCTAGTTTGGCGGAATTTATCCTCGCCTGGAGATCCCCTATAATTCCTTCTAAATGTTTTACAGGGCTCGAAATAAGAATGTCTAGGGGACATTTATTGGTCCCTGAGTTCATAAAAAAGGAAGGGAAATACAGATAATCATACTAATAGGGTGAATCCTCAAAAAAGAACTGAATAAATATTAATTCTTCTAACTAAACTTTTGAATAATCAAAGTTCAATACATTGCTAATTGAACTCAAGGAAATCACAACGTAAAATACTTCGTACAAACAAGGAATTCAAATCGATACTAAATGACATAATCAGATATTTGAGTTTTCTAAATCAACAATTGCATTGACATAACACAGCCCCGAAATCCCGTTAAATTATTAAAGTCAAAAGAAAAACAAAATCATCATTCAACACAATAAACATTCCAATGCATCTAAACATCACTCAGCTCTAGGATCGTTCGAGTGGAATACAGCATTCCCCTGTGGTATGGACAATATACTGGCAACCATGCTAGTTATTGGCTGTCTTCAACAGGTAGTCTGTTCAATTAATTTCGGATCTCCATTCTACAGTGTTGTTAACAATCCATGGTGTTATAGGGAACATGAAAAATATGTCAGTTGTCCCTTGGGTGAGGATTATGCAGACCATTATGTGGCGGGTAGAGGTGTTGCGGTGATTGTGGTGTGATCAGAGTAGTGAGGGAAAATAGCAAGGTATTACAAATACTGTCTTTCTCTACGAGCATTATATCAATAATAAATCTCTCTAACATTTTATAATATTGTTTTATACATATTTAATTCTTTGCTTGATCATATGAAACTTGACATGATTTAGTGGACACACGCTCGCATGCGGATTGGACAGTCGTGAGATCGAGTCCTAATAGACTCAGGTCGACTTCACCTTGGATGGATACCAGGTATAGTCATGGGAAGTGAAGGCAGCTGGTGTGATGTTGATCATGTTAACGCCCAGGTGCCACTTAGTCTATAAAATATAGGCCAACCCTATATGCCCAGACAGCTGACGACGCGACCAAGGGTCCTTCCCTGTTACTCAAATTTTATGTTTCATAATACAATAAATATAACCAATGTAGAGTATAAACACTTGATGGCACCGCATTTCACAGAATGATGGTTTATACCGTAAGCTCCTTATGCAAGGAAACCAAATGAATATTTTCAGAAAAGATGACAAGGTGATATAGTGTTCACTAATGAATTGTCCTAACCGTGAATAGTAACCCAAG